AAAGTTTGGAGCTGCTAATATAGCTCATTTAACTTTAGGAAATACTTTCCATATATCCTAATTGGAAAAGGAAGTCCTCATTGTCAAATCAATCAGCTAATTTGGACTTGAATTCTGTTGCAAAAGTCTGAATTCATTTATCAGTTCAAATAAGTTAAAATGCAATTTGAAGAATAGTATGAAACCATGGAGAAAATATGAAACACATCTTGCAAACTAAGTTACTGCGAGCTATACATCAGGATGTAGAGCTAATGTAATTAATGCATACATTTAAAAATGTATAAACAATTATAAAATGCTATTTCTTGTTACACAATTTATAATAATACAAGAAAATGTAGCTGAAATTCTAAGTTACTTACGAAGCAAGGAATGATAGAAGTCCTGGTATTTCTTTGGTAAATGTGCATTACAGATAATGGACTTGGGGAGGGAGTAGATTAACTAAAAGTCACACATAAAAAATTCAGAAAATAATCTACTAAGGTTTTTAAAACCTACTGAAAAGAGAGTTTTATTAACTTTCCTATTTGTTTAATGAAAGAGAAAAAGTATAAACTGCTAGAAACTAGTATGGCAGCTAGCATATAATTTTATTTTACATTAATAAGAGTGAGAAAATACAATGTTTTTAAAATTATTTTTAATTTAAGTATAATTGGTACATAATGTTATATTAGTCTCAGGGGTACAATATAGTGGTTTGACATTGTTATACCTTACAATGTGATCACCCCAGTAATTCTAGTGATCATCTGTCACTGTGCAAACTTAGCACAATGTTACTATGTTCCCTTTCCCCTTGTTCACCTGTCCCTCCATCTCTCTTCCCTCTAGCAACCATCCCTTTGGTCTCCACTTCTATGAGTCTGGTTTTGTTTTGTTTGTTCATTTTAAAAGAATAAATAAGATGAGAATTGACTACCATTGGAAAAATATTCCGTTATAATTTCATGTATTTAAGTTTTAATTATTCTATTCAGTGATGCCTACATTATGTAAAGGAAATATGTGAATTTTTATCCACGAGTGTTATTTACTGTAGTAGAGAATGTAGTAGTCTAAGAAAACATTTCAGTTAAATTTAAAAAATTTGCATGTCACCTCCAAGTTGCACCAGTTTGGAGAGCATCATTCACATGTATTCTAGTAAAGTGGATGACACCAGAAAAGGTGTGAGAGAATCCAATGTGTGTGCCATTTTGTTGTGCCGCTCAGCCCCGCGTCAGCATCAGGAACTTGCACTGCTTCCAATACTTGTATATAATCTTTTCCAACTAATGGTGCCTCCTAGGGCTGAACATTGAGAGTAACTGAAAACATATGGTAGACACCATATTCAGCATTTGAAGTGTTCTTTACTTTGCTGTCATGGGTCTCTCTCTCTCAAGAGTTATGCATGCTTTGACATATTGGGATGAGATACTGAGTCTTTCCACCTCTGTACTTTAGAATATCTGAATCCAGAGCCTCCCAACACAAGCCCAAATACCCCAGGTCTAAAGCCACACCTCACCTTTAATGGAAAGACCTGCCAGGTGATTTTGCTTAAGCATTACAAGAGGTTCTCTCAAAATCAATGCTTCAAATTATCCATTTGTTTGCCTCTTCCTCCACTCTCCAGAAACTCTTAAGATCCTGGAGATAATATTCCAAGATAAGTTTCAGGATCAGTAAAAAGAAGAGAGGTTATTTCAAAATGAAAGGTAAAAATAAAGAATTTGTATTAAACTTGAGGCCAGTTTTTAGAAAGAACAAGATGAAAATCTGGAAATTGATTACTTAAAAAAAAAATCCATGTGTGTATAACCCCCTTAGAGTGTTGCTTAACTCAAATTGAAGACTGCTCTTTTAGGGAGATTTTTGTAGCTCATGCCTTTGGTTAGACAAAATAAATATTTAGTTGATACCACACATCTGTGTTTTCTAGTCCAGCTTATAGCTGAAATTCCTGATGTGAGCCTTTGACATTCCAAGCTCCCTGGCCTTTCCAATTCTCATGTTCTATGATTTGAAAATTCTATGGTAAGTTTGAATGTTTTCCTGAAGGTCAGGGAGAATCAATGGCATTTTTTAAATAAAAGAAGTATGTGGCAAAGCAGTGTTTCTGTAGATAAATGTAGCAATACTGTGTAAGGTGGGCTGTGAGGGAAAGAAAGTTGGGAGACCAGTTAAAAAGCTATTATACTTGACCCTGAGGAAGGTTACAGGGGCTTGGACTAAAGTGGTAGGAGGAAACCTCTTCTTTTTATTTCCTCCCTCTTTCTTGTTAGTAGAACTTTAATTTTATTTGGGAATCCACACCTTAGGAAAGATGACCCTATTCCTGGCTCAGGGATATATCCTTATCATTCTAAGCCAATCATGATAACTCTATACTCCTTGCCAGTGATTGTTTTGAAAATGAGCACGTGACCCAGTTTAGGTCAATGAGATGTGAGAAGCCTGCAAAGGGACTTCTAGGAACGTTTTCTTCATTCTTACAAGGCATACATAAGAAGATGCCTCCTGCTTTATCTACACATTGGGGTGTCTGGTTGTGATGCCTAGATCTCTGCCGTCATCTTGTAACCAGAAGGGCAGCTGGCCTGAAGGTGGGTAAACTGAAAGACAGAAACAACCAGAGTCCTTTATCATGTTGTTCAGCCACCCAGCTGTCCAATTTTTAAGCTTGTATCATCTGGGGAATAATGGCACTGAAGAGAGATGTGAGTAGGCCAGAGGTAAGAAAGAATTTGGAGGAAGAGGATGAAACTCTCAGTGTTATAAATGCTGAATGTGAAAAATAGTGGTGTTTCTATGTGGAAATTGCCAGCACCTAATCAGAGGCATGGAAATAAAGCTCAGGATACTATCAGGCCCAAAATGTTAATCAGAAGTTACTTGCAGGAACTATTATATGCAAGGGGAAAAGGTATGGAGGAGCATTGCCACTGTCCTAGTGTCCCATAGTTAACTCCTCTAGGGGAATCTAACATAAGGGGGGCGGGGGGGATAATAAATGACCATCTGCTTAAAGAAGACAGAGAGATACCTATGCCAACCTATTCTTAAGACAAAGATCTATTTATATTCCAAAACAGGAATTCTATTCCTCAAATTTAATAAGAGTGTTTCTAGACAATTTAAGGACTTCAGTATTTCTGGTTTTAAAGGGGAGTCCCAGTCATCTCTCTTCATCCCCACAATATGAAAATTTGGTTTCATTTTTATTGAATAAGAGCATAATTTTTAACAAATGAGATTCTTTGTGGTTTTTTTTTTTTTTTTTTTTTTGCAGAAAGAAGAAATAAGAAAAAAATCCATCAGAGTAGATGACCTTTCTGATGATGATAACCCCAGCTTTAGTATGTCAGTTTTTGTGCAGGCTGCTTTTACATATTGTTTCCAGTCCTCTCAGCAATCCTTCCAGGGGATATTGTTAGTCTAGATTTACAGATGAGGGAAATACAGAAATAAACAGATTAAGTAACTTGCCCAAGGCCACAGTTAGCTGGGATTCTAAATCAGGTATGCCTATTGCCAAAGCACATAATATTTTTGTCACATACTGACTTTATGGAGAGAATATAAAGCAGAAAAAGCAATGAGCCTCGAAGTGTGCACATTTTTCAATAGAGAAAGTCTGCCTAAGAGTCAGAGAAGGAGCAACTCAAAAGATAGTGTTAAACCCTGAAGTCTCCCAAATCAACTGGATAATTTTGGTACTTTTAAATGCAGAGGGCACAATCCCAAGGCAACCTGATACTCCACTTCAGGAGCCACTTCATATTTGTTAAAAATGTCTTTCCCCTCAAATACCACTGATGAAAAAGATCACTGTAGATTCAAGCAGCCCTAGGACTGGAGAAGTTGGTGAACCCAGAGTTTTGTCCTTGGCCTCCTTTTCTTCCCACTGAATAGTGTCTTGGCCAAACTTATTCATTCTCATGGCTTTTACTACATATCATATTTTGATATGTAGTAAATGTGTATCTATAGAACTCTTTCCAGCTTAAGACATCACTTAACATCTTCTCATGTTGTTCTTATAGGCACTTCAAACTCAATGTATCTCAAATGGAGCTTATCATCTCATCTTTACCCCAAACCTGCTTTCCACCCAACATTCCTTCTCTTGGGAAGTGCCATCACAGCCAATTCGTTGTTGACATCCGACATTTGTACATCATTCTCACAATTTTCATCTCTTCTCCTTTCATCTGCACAGTTCCAGTGCAATTATACTTTCTAAACATCTCTCTAATTCAATGCTTCTCAACCTTCTATTACATCATGGCACACACAATAAATCTGAGAAACTTGGACTTGCTTTGACTGAAAAAAAAGTTTTTAGTTTAACTTTTAAAAAAAGAAATCACCACATAAGTTCCTGGCTAACTCATGGAAACCAAAAGTAGTGATGCATTTAAGCCTTGGTAACATTCTGTCTGAAGTGCTAGAGGGAACCTAGAAACCTCTCTCTATCTTTCATCTGTCTTCCTTTCTGCTTCATTTTTCTCTTGACGGCCAGCTGTTTCATTTGTCCTATTCACTTAGAAGATGATCATATCTAATGAATGAACTGCAAGTCTTTTAATACCAATTCCAAGGTCCCAGAGGAAAGGGCACAGTGGCACTACTTGGATCATGCACTCATTCTTCATCCAATTGATTTTTTTCAGCTTTATTGAAGCATAATTCACAAATAAAATTGTAATATATTTAAAGTACATCATATGATGATATATGTATACATTTTGAAAGGGTTTCCACCATTGACTTAATGAAACATTGATGATCTCACATATTTACCCTTTATGGGGAGAGGGAAGAACATTTAAATTCTACTCTGTAAGCACATTTCAATTGTACAAAAAAAAGTATCATTGACTATAGTCACCATGTTATACGTTAGATCCTCAGACCTTATTTATCTTAGATTTGAAAGTTTGTACCCTTTTACCAACCTCTCCCCATTTCCCCTCTCCACTCCCCAGTCCCTGGCAACCACTATTTTACTCTCTGTTTCTATGAGGTTTGAATTTTTTGTTGTTGGGTTTTTTGTTTTGTTTTGTTTTTTAGATTCCACATATAAGTGATACCCCGCAGTATCTGTCTTTCTCTGTCTGGCCTACTTTACTCAGCACAATGCTCTCTAGGTCCATCCATGTCATTGCAAAAGGGAGGACCAATTAACTATTGAAAAAAAGTCCTAGCATGAAAACAAGATTGCTTACACTGTCACTGTGTGGATGGGGTAAAAGGTGCAATTACCAGATAAGCAGAATTATAAGCAACTGGGGAGATAATCCATTAAAAATTAAGAAGATTTATATTTTTTCTAGTTTTCCATTTGTACATCCAAATAAGCTCTTTTAAGCCTAACTGAAAAGTCTTAACTTCCCCAGTTGAGATGATTATAATTCTAGCCTTGACTAATAGTGCATATGAATTAGAAATACAAAAGTTGCCATCCTAGAAAATGTAAAGGTTCTAAAACTTTTCCTTGAAATGTAGGCTTGAAAATATATTCAGTATTGTGTGTTCTTTTTGATTGGTTATTTTTTTAAACATTCAATTTTTTCTCTTTACAGTCTTCCTATGCTTTTTGTTGTTACCCTAGATATTACAATATACATCCTTCATTTAATATAGTCTAATAACTATACCTTCCTCCTGGTCATTGCAAAAAACTTAGAACACTTTAACTCCATTTACTCCCTCTTACCCATTATTTCTCTATATTTAAACTTCATAGACATTATTATTGTTGTTTAATATGGCCAATGTTCATTTAGGTTTACATTCGTATTTCTCACTTTCTTTTCATTCCTTCACGCATCTCTGACCTTCCAGCTGGGATCATTTTCCTTCTGCCTGCATTTCATTCACAATATTTCCTTTAATGCAGTTTTGCTGATGAAAAACTCTCTCAGTTTTTGTTGATTAAAAAAGGTCTTCATTTCATCTTTATTCTCAAAGGATATTTTTACTGGGTATAAAATTCTATATTGGCAGTATATTTTCTTCTGGCCTGCATTGTTGCTATTGATAAATCAACTGTCAGTCTAACTATCATGCTTTTGAAAGTTATCTTATTTTTTCTAGCTACCTGAAAATGTTTCTCTTTGCCATTGGAGTCCATAATATCATTGTGATTTGTATATGTATTTCTTTCTATTTATCTTACTTGAGATCCAGCTGGCTTCTTGAATTTTTTAATTGTGTCTTTCATTGTTTCTGGAAAATTTGCAGCCTTTGAATACAACCTCTGATCCGTTTTATCTCACGTCTTCTTATAGGACTCCAGAAAAACATATCTTATACTTTTTCTCTGTAATATAAACATAGATATATAGACATCAATGTATATATAGATATATAAACACATATAATATGTATATGTATATGTATTTGTATCTATATATTATATACATATAAATCTATATATTTTATCCTCTATCTTGTTTACTCATTCTCTCATCAGCTGTGTCTAATCCACTATTATATTCATCTACTGAGATCTTAATTTAGTTATTGTAATACTTCGTTTTAAAATTTCCATTTTTTTCCAAAATCAATTGTATCTCTTTTTGTGGTTTCTCTGCCAAAATTTTCAAGTTTATCATATTAAACATAATTGTTTTATAGTCTATGCCTGATAATTACAACATCTAAAGTCTAAAATTAGTTGTTTCTAATTACCTTTTTTGGAAAATTGTTCCTAATTACCTAGCTTGCCATTGCTGGACACAACATGAAGTTTTGTTGTTGTTGTTGTTATTTTAAAACACCTACAGCACCTGGTATTCTTAGGTGGTCTCCCATCCAAGTACTAACCAGACCCAACCCTGCTTAGCTTCCAAGGTCAGACGAGATCGGGCATGTTCAGGGTGGCATGGCCGTAGACAATATAATGTTTTAAAATTGGGTTTTAACCTTGAAAAGTTTACATGCAATTTCTGACCATGGCTTTCTTAAATGATTTTCTCAAATTTTTGGTATCTACTACTTATGAAAGACTTTTTCACAGATGTAAATTAAAAAAAATTTTTTTTGCATAAACATTCAAAATTTTATATCAATTGATGTTATATATGAAGAGCTAACATTATTGGCAAATGTAATGGTGCATTTCTTTACATAATGAAATGGATTTCTGATTTGATCCAACTTTTTCATGTCAACCATTTCAAAATTATGTTGAAGCTCTAATTCACAGAACACTTATGATTTGTTATTATGGTTTAGCTTGGATGCCACTAAGAGGGCACCTCAACAACAAATAGACAGAAGTGTCCAATACAGGTAAAGACAGAAATTTCGGACCCTCACCTAGAACAATGGAGCCCCCAACTAGCCTTTCCTCATCTGGAACACAAACTCCTCTAGCATTTCTGCTAGGCTCTGTTCACAGTAAGTAGTAGCATATTCTACAGTGGCTGTTGAAGATGATAAATCACCTCCCATGTTCAATGCATCACAGGAAGTAGAGAGTAACAGACACTCTGCACCACAGGAAGCAGAGAGTAACAGACACAATGCATCACAGGAAGCAGAGAGTAACAGACACTCTGCAGGGAACAAACTCTATAGCATCAGATCTCATCTTATGGAGCCTTCCCTCTTATTTCCACTTGCAATCTGAGGTCCTCACCCTGCCACATTGAAGGTTTACAAGATCAATATCTCATATCTGATCCCATCTACCTAATTGTCTCTCCACTATCAAAGGTGGGTTTATAGATTTTCCATGTGATAAATAAAGTTTAAGCTTTAGGACCCTCACTTTCATGGGAACTTTCCAAAGCCCTAGAATGGCTCTATTAAAATGTTCATAAGGCCATATGTTTTTGTAAAACTTACAAAAGTGGTATATTTTAACCTAAATCAGTTAGGATGACTACTGTTTTCCTCTCTGATTTCCCCTCTATCACAGTTCTCTTCATGTCCGGTCATACTGGGTTGGCTATGGGCATTTTGGGGGATGAGATCAAGAGGGAATTGAATTATGGATAAATATATTTGTTTGAGTTTAGTGAGATATATTAATGTGCTTAACAGTTACTAATTAGAAAAGTGGGGACAACACTGTCAATCTTTCATGGTTGTTGTGAGTATGAAATGAGATTGTGATATGGTCCCCAGTATATTAACTATTTCAAGCTAAAAAAATATTCTCAGTTTCTGACATTCTAGGCTCTTTTTTCTATACTATTAAGCTTTTCCAGATATGTTGGCTCCTGGTAAGATAGCAAACACATTGGGGAATTGATGCAGTTTAGTTGGGCTGACCATGACACAGTATGGATAAGTCAGATATATGTCGTTATGCCCATTGCAGTGGATGCATTGTATCCTTCTAGCACTGACTGGAGACTCTGACAAATCCTCTCAAGCTAATCTTGCCCCAATTCTGATCATTTTTTCACTCTGTAGCCCCAGCAATTTTTTCTTTAAGTTTTTTGTTTTTGTTTTTAGTTTCAAATCCATTTGGAAAGGATTGGCATACCTAACGCTCAA